AACCTGAGACTGTTGTTCCACAGGCGTTCACGGCGTCTGTGCCGCGGACCAGGCGTTGGGGTGGGAGGAACCGTGCTTCCCTGGTCTTGGGCGCCGGGCGGGGCTGACAGGGAGGTGGCGTTGGTAGCGGTCACGCTGGCAGAGAAGGATGCTGTCGGAGGAACCAGAGCACGGCTGCTGGGGGCGCAGCTGAACAGGGAGGGGAGACTGGCTGGTAGAGCAGGTGACTCCGTCCAGGAGGAGGAACTCGAACAAGTGCCACCGAACATCAGTTGCCTGATGCTCCCAGGAAGATTATTCTGGCCTTGGTGGGACGTCCACCCCGCACAAGGGCCCAGCTTTGAGATCAGCCTGGCGGCTTCTCCGTGGAAGGAGGAAGATCAGAGAAGCCAGGCGTGTGGACCGGAAACACATGCATAATCGTGCCGTGCTGGCTGGGAGGCGACCAGGCACAGGGGCCGTGCTCACACACAGCCCGCTTCCCGGGAGCTCGGAGCGTGCTCAGTGGTTCCGGCGCTGACTGCGCTGTGTCCCCAGGGACGAGCACATCTCAGCGCACAGCAGGGTCTGCACTGCTTTCTCACCTCTCTTCGTTTGTCACAGTGTCACCTTGATGACACCCTGGTCACCTGTCAACGCTATCAAATTGCTGTTTTCCAGTTACTCCTCTCTCTCCTCCTCTGCTCAGTCTGGAATTTCAGATTCCTGTAGCTCCCCCCTAAATAAAGCAGCTGTAACGGAAGACAATTCTTAAATTGCATAGACAGTCAGAGCACCCCAAAGCCCCGAGGTGGAACCTTTTCCTACAGAACAGTTCTTACCTTGAGGAAGACTTGCCTCCAAAACGCTTAGCTTGGGTGTCTCCTTTTTCTTAACATTTGCAACTCTAGGAAGGCCCGCGATCTAGGGAGAAGCGTTTAGAAGCCGTCTTAATTGTACCCCAGGAACCTGGACGTTCCTCTAGGTCGAGCACCATTGAGGCAGAGAAATTTCCAGTCTGCTTCCTGGGCCCCTGCTGAAGGCCGGTGGCGTGTGTGAGCATTGAGTGAATTCTAATACGCGCGTTAGAATGTCCTGGAATGTGCGCGTGGATTCCGTGCGCCTGTGGGGAGGTCTGTCCATGCACAGTTAGTGTGGGTCTCCCGTCACACAGCTTCCAAGTCTGTGTGGGACGTCGGGGAAACCCTTCCTTCCTTGGTGCATGTTGTCTGCTCGGATGAGGAGCCGTGGGCCGGGGGGGCCAGCCCCATGTCCCTGTGGCCGGGCTGGTGTGGGGGTCCACATGGGGGTCGTGGGGGGGCCAGCCCCATCTCCCCGTGGCCGGGCTGGTGTGGGGGTCCACATGGGGGTCTGGGGGGGGCCAGCCCCATCTCCCCGTGGCCGGGCTGGTGTGGGGG